TCTGCACTGTTTGGGCGACTCAGACGGGCATTTAATGCCCTTGTCCCCTGCCGTCAGAGTTAGGTAGGGTGCACTGTACAAGCAACTGTACCAACTACCTCGCTTTTTACGTTTTTACCCTCCTCTGCGTTGCCATCTGTCGGTGACCCCTTTAGCGTATAAAAGGAGGCCCATGCGCAACGTAGAGGGGGTTCGGTTCCGAGGTTCGATCACTTCGACTCGTTTGTAAACCAGAAAGAGACCACGCTCTCTCGAGAGCAAGAACACTAGATAATACAATCAGACAAGCAGCAGTAGGAGTGTTATCTCTCCGGGGAGCTCCGAAGTTGGGTAAACCGCTCGTGTGCTTTGCCTCGATCTGCTCTTCGTGCAACCTCTGCCCCCCACCGAACCGAAAGGGGCCCGGTCAGCCGGCCCCATAGGTGTTCGTGGGTCAGTTTCCCCCGACAACTAGGCTGGGGTGCATCGGGCATCTGCGAGGTGTTGATCTCATCATGGGTCTGTTCATCGCCCTCCTCCCCCTTGCCATCAACCTCGCCGTCGAGTGGGTGTTCTATGGCACTTGATGATGATCTCGAGCTCGACGTAGAAGGCATGGCGACATCGATGGAGCGGCAGCCTAGTAGAGCACCCAGGCCACGTGCCCAAGACTTGCTCCACTGTGAAATCAAACATGTCAAAGTAAGGAGATAAACATTAACAAGTGTGTATGGAAATCAATTTACGAAGCAGCATACCTCAACAAAAGCTTTTAGCTTGTTGTACGCCTCATCACCTGGAGGGTACTTGAGTGCCTCGCTAGCGTCATTCACATGCTTCGAGAGCTCGGATTGCTATTCAAAATGACAAAATAAATCATGTTCGGTTCAATGTTTCTTATGGTTCCAACTAGAGATAGCGGTAACTTACCACAAAGCGGACAACGGGCACTGATTCATACCGTCTACCATCTCTTATAAGTTTGTTGTACTGCATGTTGGCCATCCGGTCGAACCCTCGGATTGGGTTCATGCAATATGTCATTTGGATCAAATGCTGGCGGGTTTATTTGAGTACGAGTAACGGAACGAAACCACACGAGATAGTGGTTGAATGCTTATGTATCGAAAGCCCGCGGGGGAGGCTTAGAAGTAGGTTCACGCAATGAGAGCTCAATCTTATTGATCTTGTGCTTGAACTCCTGGATATATATGCCATGCTCACGATTCCACTTCTTATACTCTTCTGCTTCATCTTGTCCAAGCTGCTTATTCAAATTCATCATGTTAGTTAGTAGAATGAAACAATCAAAAGAATACCTTCAAGTAGTATTAAGCATTTACCTATGCAGATGTATCGAAGTGTCCTTGTACTTTGGCGGGGTCTCCTGATATAAGCCAAACTGTGTCGTAACCCGTTGTGGCTGATGAAACTCAACAGCATAGTAACAAATCAATGGGCAACGCATCCGCCATAGGTTTGCTTCTTCATAACACTTTCGGTTCAATCTGAAAGTGAGACTTCTGCCAATATTGCCTGCCATTCTGTATGGCTCCCAGGTCACCTGTAGCGTCAAATAATAAAATAGATGCTTACTATGATTTTTGGAAAACCGAAGGGGCAACACAGCCAACAAACTAACCTTCTCCGGGGTCATGATGTCGAGCTCGTTGCAATAGTGCAAATACATGGTCTTTGAATTGCCAACAAAACTTTCAACCTTGTCCCACTTATACGCCCATGTAGGCATACGGTGCGGGTCATCATGATCATCCCATGGCTCATAACCAAGACCCGTAGGCGTTGGCCGCCCAACTGGCAAGCGTTCCCAACTCCAGACCGACAAGAGAAGCATGGGACCACCGATATTGGCTTCCTTTGCCTTGGCGGTGTTCTTTGGATCCATGCCCCTACGGCAAGCCTCGTCCAACTACACACAAATAATAGATATGTCAGTACAAACCATATAAAATATCTACATTGTTAAGATACTATGTAAAACTAGTTACCCGCCGATACAAATAAGCTAGTGCCGCCGTACCCCAACTCAGTCCATGTTCCCACCCAGCAAACAACTTTAAACACATAAAGGAAGCATTCATGCCCATGCCATCCAAGAAAAGAGTCCGGCTGACTACATACCACAAGTATGCCCTGCAATACTATTGCACCATTTCATCATCAACATCATCCGGGCACTTACTAAGTTCTCAGCAATCCAATGATAACTTGCACCGGCAGACTTTCCTTGCACCCCCGGCTCCTTCCCAATGAGTCCCACCATAGTCTCATGCCATCCCTCTGAATCTGTGCTAAAACAAATAGGCTCTCCTTTGATAGGAAGTCCAGTGATCATTGTAACATCCTGCAAAGTCACCGTCATCTCTCCAGCAAAGAAGTGGAAAGTATGTGTATCAGGGCGCCATCGGTCAACTAGTGCCGTGATCGCACAAGGATTCATCTTCGGCATCGAACGAGACACAAGTGAGACAAATGGGAGAAGCCCAGTCTTCCGGATATACTCCGTGTATCGCTCGTCATATTCCATCTTCTCATGAACTGCATCAGACCTCAAGTGAAGCTGATCAAAAACCCTTCTTTCATCTGCCATGAACCGTGCACGATGAAGTAGATCGTACGATGGATGGATCAGAGAAGCCATCCTACAAAATTACAATGTACATCGTAATCCTCCTTTTCATTTGTAAATATCCAGAATAATGGAAATATAAACATACATACAGCTATAAATATCCATATCCATACAACAAATGGATACATACAACTACAAATGTGTACCTAAGCCAAATCATCCATACAAGTGAATATGCACACACACATTTGCACACAACCTTCTATTCTCTATGTCAAATTTGCTACCAAATACATAAAAACTAAAAAAACCTACTATAAGTACCAAATACTAATCATACCATACATATCCCTACCCATACATTTCTAATACAAATGCAAATATCAACAAATTTTGAAAAAGGGGATGAACTATGGTTTCTACACATGGGTCAATGCAACAAAATTAACCAATAAAAAGAGGAGAAAGTTGGGGGATTACCTATAGGATTAGGAGGGGAAGAAGATCCACCGGTTTTCCCCTTCGATATGTCCTTCTTGGCCGTGGATTTGGAGGAGGGAAGGGAGGGGCGGCGGGCTGAGCGATGAGAGGAAGAACAGAGACAGAGCCCTCTGTCTCGCTCTGTAGGGAATCCCGACAACAGGGATATTTTCATCGAAGGGGCATGACGCCCCGACCCAGGGCATCATGGTTACGCCCATAGCGCCCCCGCCACTGGGGCGTCATGCGACCACAGATGGGCCCAGGCGTACCGATGTGGCTGGTCAGCGCCGCGGCATGGCGCCCTTGACTGGGGCGTTATGATGTCTAGCATGGCGCCCCAGGTGCGGGCGCCATGTGGAAATGGACATTTTGTGGAATATTTTAAAAAATGGTTCATTTTGTGCTAAACTTTGGCCAAAGGGTCAGTTTTGTGATTTTTCACCGCTCTAGGCCGGCTTGAATGCGGTGACTCTGTAGCGGCGTTGACCACTATTAATGCGCGACAAACTGCTTCATGGGGAAGAAGCGCGGAAGAGGGTTTTGGGCGGGTCCGCGGTGACGGACACCTTCATGACATTGGTCCGAACGTCCGCAAAGCCCCCGATTTATGCTCGGTTTGTTGGATTTTAGACAGCTAAACTGGTCTGTGAACCGACATGATACCGTATTGAATGACAAACTGCGTCTGAACAGCTACACCCAGACATATATGGTGTTTTGATGGTCCGCGTTGAAATGCCTTTTTTTGCATGGTAATACGTGTCTCATTCATATCATAAAGAACAAAGTACAAATCACGTAAAGACCGACATGACAATACTGAAAAGATAGTAGAACGTCTCTGAGCTTGACACCAACGCTCGTCAACTGCTTCCGGCACCACCACAGCAGCCACCGAAAAAAAGAATGACGAATCACCACCTCGCCCGAGCTCGACGTGGCTCCATCGCTGATATGCAGCTTTGCGGACCTCCAAAGTGGCTCACCAAAAGTGAAGCCCTTGCCGTTGAACGAATCAGACCTGGGCAACACCCCGGACACGCCATCGAACTCCAGATCTGGCACTCCACCACGACTAAGACGCCGAAGGAGGAAACCATACCTTCCATCCACAAACCACGAACCCAGTAGATATTCCATCTTCCAGATGTCGTCGATACAGACCACAATCTGCATCCGCTCCTGGACTACCTCCCAAACTTCCAGATGTCGTTGAAATGCCCTTTAACCCAACCGATCGGTGCAGCGCGAGGTAATTATGACAAGTTGCCAAGTAGTAGTACACGACATAAGTTTTCTTTTTTTGCGGGTGAAAGAAAAAAACTTATGTCGACTACAACAATTTAGCACAGCGTACACGGCTCTTTTGGCTTTACAAACACGAATTTGCTTCCTTGCCTCTAAATTGCACCGTAGTCCAATGCCCAAGTTGCCAACTTTTTTTTTCTGAGACACAAGCCAAGTTGCCAACTACACAACGTCCTCGTTAATTACGACCAGGCCCGCTCCTTCAAGCAAGGCAAGTCGGCCGTGGGCCGAACTTCCTTCCGACCCGAACCCTACGACCGTTACATCGACAACGAGTCCAGGTCGGCCACGCCCGTGCCCCCGGCGACTTGAAGCGGGCGAATAAACCCTCGTGGATGCCCTCTTCTCCAAGAAAGGACCGAGGAGGCACCAGCGTGGACAGCAAACAAATATCGCAAAGCAGGGGAAGCAAAAGCAGAGCCGTCGTCGCCTCCGAACCCCACACCGTCGCATCTCAGTTCCAATCCCTCCCGCCGCCGCCGCCTCCCTCGGCCCCGCGGATCGCGGCTCCGGTCCCGAGTCTCCTCTCCGCTCCGCCCTCCGGGGGTTCGGTCTGGTCCGCCCTTGCGTGGACGGGCTCTCCTGGGGTTTTGGCGGTGGCTGGCATGCTCTCCGGCGACCTGGTGCGGTGAACCCGATGCTGCGCCTACTGTCGGTCGGTGAGAGGTGCGTTTCTTCTTCTTCTCGTCTATCAATGTCGGCGGTTCTTGTAGAGGGGAAGGTGGATCTTCTTGGGGAGTTTTCAGACTGAAAACGACACGGCTTTGCTGAATTCGTTTGCCGATTTATATTTTATTGTGAGTTGCTCGCGTGGAATCGGAAGCTGTTGTAGTTTGGAATTTGGGGTTTGTTATTACTGTGATCAATTGGGATTCAAATCTAGCTTAAATATGTCAATTCTGCCACATACTATGCCTGAACACGTGTCCATACCGTTACATTGGCCTAGATAATTAGTTTGAAACTTTGATGCTTCATGAATGAATGCATTGTCGAAGTCTGCAATTTGATTCCATATATGCTGGATAAATAAAATGGCTAGTGTTTTGGGGAAAGTTATGAGATGATTACCTGAACTACATTGCTTCTGCTGTACAATTGAGTTTTAAATTTCACCCTGCAAGTGTCAGATAAGCTTGGAAACTTGCAATATTTGATGTTGTGCTCTTACATTTGTGAGCAGGCTGTTGACAACCGGAACAAATAGGCGGACAGCCCGTTTGTCCCAGTCGAGTCACGCCAGTGGTTACTACGCAACAGTGAGGGACAATGGCTTGTCAACAAGGCGAAATATCCCACCCGTCTTCTCTAGAATGTTCTCACATTACAAGGACATTGTCAGAAAGAAAGTTGAGGATCACAACTATAGAAAAAGGTTTTCCAGAGGCTATGGTTCCCTCTCTGGGGCAGTGTCGAATTCATCCGCAAGACAGCAAGGCCAATTGACGTTGAAGCGGCCCAGTCATATGTACTCGTATAGTGGTCCCCGATTCCCGTTGCTGAGCCGAGCAGCCTGTGCGCTAACTCTGTCCTTAACGAGATCACATATCATCCCTGGGGTCGTGGCTTTAGCTTTTGGGAAGATGGCATTGTCGCAGCCTGTCCTGGCAGACTCACGGCCATACATGCCCAAAATGGAAGGCATTGTCACGAGGACACGAGATACTGGCGAGTTGCTGTCAGCCATGGCTAGGTCAGTCTGGGAGGGTATCACTTTGTTTATAAGAGCAGTTCATTTGGCATTCCTGTTCTTCCCTGCAACTGCATTAGCTCCATTTGCTGATAGTTTAAGTATAGAATTTAGAAGAAGGTGGCTTTCTCTTGTACGTCGTACGCTTGAAAAGGCGGGGCCAGCATTCATTAAGTGGGGTCAATGGGCTGCAACTCGCCCTGATCTTTTTCCAAGTGATCTCTGTGTTGAGCTTGCAAAGCTTCACAGCGGAGCTCCGGTGCATGGCTTTGCTTACAGCAAAGCTTCTATTGAGAAGGCATTTGGCCGTAAGCTATCTGAAATATTTGAAACTTTTGAAGAGAATCCTGTAGCTTCTGGAAGCATTGCACAAATACATCGGGCCACATTAAAAGATCGTCCTGACTCGAACTCGACCAGAAAAAAGAAAAGAGATCAACATCCTGTAAAGCATGTTGCAGTTAAGGTGAGGCATCCTGGTGTGGGGGAATCAATCAAGAAGGACTTCTTACTCATCAATTTTATGGCAAAAGTTTCGAACGCTGTCCCTGGATTGAGCTGGCTAAGGCTGGATGAGAGCGTCCGCCAGTTTGCAGTTTTCATGATGTCTCAAGTTGACCTTTCTAGGGAAGCTTCTAATTTGCATCGTTTCAGACACAACTTCCGTAGATGGAGACATGTTTCATTCCCAGAACCATTGTACCCACTTGTCCATCCAGCTGTCCTTATCGAGTCATTTGAGAATGGAGAAAGTGTTGCTCGTTTTGTGGATGAAACTGAAGGAAATTCTCGGATGAAGAAGGACCTTGCCCACATTGGGACATATGCATTTTTGAAGATGCTTCTGGTATGCACGTCTTTTATTTGTTTCCTGTTTTTCTCTTTTCCCCTGAGTGGTGGTTTACTGACGATTGGTATAGCCATATAGCACCATGGTTAGCCTTAGAAGTATGATCTGTTGTTAATTGTTTATCTGATATATTCCCAGTATAATTCAGCCACTGAATTATTCTTTATCATTCTTCCCTGTTTCTACAGGAGGACAATTTTATTCACGCGGATATGCACCCGGGAAACATTCTTGTCCGTCTAAACGAGACCAAGAATAAGAGGAAAACGTTTTTCAGATCTAAGCCCCATATTGTTTTTCTTGATGTTGGCATGACTGCTGAGCTCTCAGTAGCTGACCGTGATAACTTAAAACAATTCTTCAAGGCGGTTGCTATCAGAGATGGTCGTACGGCTGCTAAGTGTACGTTACGATTATCAGATAACCAGAGCTGTCCAAATCCAGCAGCCTTTACTGAGGTAAAGCATGAAACTTGTAGGCAATATTTAGATCTTAATCAGATTTGATAGTTCTTTACTTGATATGCGATGTTTAAGTGCAGCTACCTTCATTATGGCCATCAGATGTCATCCATCGTATATTATATGTACATGTATTCGTTCTTGTACATAACATCTGGGTGCCTGCATATACAGACATTATGATTATATACAATATCATGCATTTTCATGGAGAGTTCGAAATTATTTACATGCTAAAGAATATGTCATCTAATAGTAGGATTTGGGGTGTGTTAACACAATATTTAACTGGTTTGCTTGGGTTACTCTTGCCTGACCTATGCCAATATAAGGGATTTTGAAGGATCCTTGCCCTCTTGTTAGCTCAGGGATTTTAGGTTCATGTCTTTCTCCCTTCAGCTTAGATGCAGTGCAGTCCAGATATGTTGGCTTCAGTACTAGCTTTTGTATCTTTTATTATCTATTTGCATAACGTATTTTCCACCCAAGCAGTCTAGCTTCAATTTTGTGTCCATTGCTGTATCTCCCAATCAATAACATGCTTGTGGCCTTGTGCAACTCAATATGACTATTTTGGCCTCAGATTCGGAGCTCAAAGTTGCTAATCACTATTGTTAGTTTTTTTTTTGAGAAAATTGTGTTGATTAGTTGTTTCTACATTAATTTAATCTGGGCCTAATGGTCCTTCTGCGCAGAATCAGTTTTCACGCATTGATAGGAACCTGTACTTTTTATCTAGTCTTTGAGGGTTTCGTCTTGTCTTCTGAAATATTCTGCTATACTACAGATTGCACAATCCTGATGTTTCTACACATTTTTTTCCTTGAATAACAGTACTAATATTTTTTGGTCATGGTAGGAATTGGATAAGACATTTACGTTCTGGGGAACACCGGAGGGAGACGTATTTCATCCTGTCGAATGCATGCATCAATTGCTCGACACAGTTCGTCGCCACAAAGTCAACATTGATGGCAACATCTGTACTGTAATGGTGACCATTTTGGTTCTTGAGGTAATGCACTGTTGTAAAACTTTAAATTGATATCAATATACTTGCTATGTTTCGGTTATTATACTGTGTACAGAAGGAAATTTGACGTCTTTATAACGATCTTTGTTGTTTTCCTCATTTGACAAATTAATTTTTAAATACTTTCTTTGTTCAAGAAAGATGATGTAGACGACAGTTTGGGCACAGTCGGCTATCATGCTACTTTGACCATTATATAAAATTGTGAAAATACATAAAAAACTATATTATGAAAAAATCCTCATAAAGACTGGATCGTGTATTTTCAACCAGAGGTAGTAACTTCCAGGGTTGATTTAATTTTCATCATCACTGCATTATACTCCCTCTGTCCCATAATATAAGAGCGTTTTTTGACACTAGTGTAGTGTCAAAAACGCTCTTATATTATGGGACAGAGGGAGTATGTTTTATGCTTAATGGAACTTACCTAAGGAAATAGAACTAGTTTACAGGGTCTAGTCAGTTTGGTTGCTGACCACCCTTTTCTATGCTATACTACAAGCTACAATACACTGTGCATAGTATCTGTATGCCCTTACAGGAATTAGGAAGATGGATATTATACTTACCATGGCTATTCATTCTACTGTAGGGGTGGCAACGCAAGCTAGACCCACGCTTTGATATCATGGAAACATTGAAGACTCTACTAATAGAGAAGGAAGTTAAACAACCACCACCAGATTATTTTGGATAAGCCATTTTTCAGTTGTCAGAGTACAAGGATCAGGTAATGTGATTTTTATAACATGTATTCTGTCGTTCAAAAGTGCACCATTGTTTTGTGCTAACCAACCTTTTAGCACAAGCACTTGAAATATGATGTTGGCGCAAAAACCCCAGCCCATGGAATAAGCTCATTTGAGTTTCGAGCTATGGATTCTAACCCAACGCTGCAGTTGATTTTCACACTAATTCTATATGGCACGTAATAACAGTGCCTCCGGCCTTTTGTTAGTTGCTGCCGAAATTTGGTGTAGAAATCAAACAGTTCCTCGCGCCTTTAGGTAGTTTACTGCTGAAATTTGGTGCAGACCATCAACTTATCCTGTGTGCACCAGCTTGTATATCAGAACCATAGTTCTCATATCTGCTGTTTTACATGTACATTGTTTCCATCCGATCTTGCATGATAAAATGGAATTTCAAACTTGCAACTAGGATGTTCATCCGCTCGCAATTCTGATATCTGTTGCATATCTTTTGGCAGATTATCCCAAACACGGCATCGGTGAGAGATGACGACTGCATGGGACAGAAGTTGGAATGCCTAACTCGTGAAGCAAATTAAAGTAACACTCAATGCTGCTACGCACTTGTTCTCCCTCCTTTCTGAAAGTAGTATTAGATGCAACTTACTGCACTGGGTACAGTTTGACAACCTTCAGTGCGAAAATTTTGGCCGCCGCCTTGGGCTGATTCAGTCACGGGGTTCTGTAATCCATCAAATCTCTTTCTAGATGTAGTTACATGATAACTATCATAAACTACGTTGCAGGGTAGTGTGAATTTTAATTCCATGTTAATCCTTCGTACTTGCAGTTTTTTTTTTTTGAGGATCACGTACTTGCAGGCGTGCTGTCCCGATGTAAAGTTTGGATTCGGAAGACCATGGCTGGGAATGTCTAAGCTATACTTCCTCCGTAAACTAATATAAGAGTGTTTAGATTACTAAAATAGTGATCTAAACGCTCTTATATTAGTTTACAGAGTGAGTACTTTTTATGTTTTCTGTGAAACCCGTAACTGGTGCAATTTCGCCAACTTCAATTGTGGATTTGATCGCCAACTTCAATTGTTTGTTTCTAAGCTAGTTCTGCCCGTTCAAATATAAGATGTTTTGGATATTTCAATATGGACTACATGAACTGAAATAAATGAACAAATATAATAAAATATAAGGGTGTATATATATATATATATATATATATATATATATATATATATTTGTGAACAGACGGAGTAGTGACTATCATGTTGACGCCTCGGAGTAAACTTTGGTGATTGGACTGAACAGGCTTTTCCATGGCCCGGAAAGCTAGCGACTTTGTTCGCTCCGTCTGGCCGTTACGTCCTACGTCCTGTGCAAGACATCAGAGCATATACGACAGTCCGCAAATAATCTCTTCTACATGCCTTAATTAAAAAAACCTTAAATTCATAATATTACATGCAATGTAAAATCTAATCTAAGCGAAGCTCATCTCACTCCGCCGTGCCCATGTCCAGCGGCCGGCTGCGTCCCTCAAAGTATTCCTTCGGTCGCTGACGAGGTAGAGTAGGACATGTGACACACACTGCCTCATGGACTCAAGGCGCCGTCGTCTCCATGCTCTACTTTTTCTCGTTGGAGTCCGAAACATTCATGGTGTCATGGGTGTGAGACCAATGATGGATCTGCTGATGTTCAACATGATGCGGTTGAGGCGCCTGGACTAGTGCACCATACTGGGCGCCAAAGAATGCGACTCCGCCATGAGGGCAGCCGCTGTCTATCACGCCCGCTGCCTCGCATAGTGGGCACACCCAACCATATTAGCGTCGCACGATGCCCATGCGTTCACCTTTGCCTCGGCGCGCTATTGAAGCAGTTGCGCATCCGCCGCCACATTCAGACGCCAAACGGACCGCACCGGCTACTGTGAGGCAGCAGGGACACACATTGTGGCAGATCCATGCGCCATTTGGGCAGACGCAATGGATTCCCGACGGAAGGAGTCCGAGCGTTGCCGTCGGGCGGCTCCTCCTAGAAGCGGCGGAGCAAGGTTGACGACCATCTCCTCCTTGGGGCCGTGTGGGATGATCTGGAGCTGCAGGTGTTGGGAAACATAGTAGAAAACAAAAAAACACCCCACGACCACCCAAGAACAATATGAAGATGTATAACGGATTGTGATCAATGATTATTACCGACTCTGGGAGTGCAGCGGAAGTAGATGAGTCGGTCTAGATCGTACTTGAAATCCCTCGAACGTTGATGACGATCACGCGAACCGCCCACGAACGATCCCTCGAACGGAAGACCGAAAGCACGACCTCTCTACTTGGTTGCAAGCGTACGGTCTTCACGATCCGGTAGCACTTCGCCGTCCAGAGCTAATCATCGCCGAAGAATTAGAGGGAGGAGATTAGAACCACATAGGGCTTCTAATTATGAGGATTAGAGGTGGCTAGGGCTAGCTCTAATTAGTCTAGGACCAACTAGAACTAGAACTACATCAACTAAAGGAGGCTCTCAAAACTTGTGGTATATAGGTTAGAGGGGAGGGAGAGGGCAACCACCAAAGGGGAAGGAGCCCCCTTGGTACGCCAGCCTTGGGGGAGTCCTACTCCCTCCCCAAGTAGGATTCGCCCCCCCCCCCCACACACACACTAGGAAAGGGGGGTGCCACTTCCACTTGCCTCCTTGTGGCCCAAGTTCCTTCCACCTCTTGGCCTTATTAGGCCCATTGACATTAAATTAAATATATATTTGTTCTAAACATTTTCAGAGCATTATATATATATAATTTAACATCCCCGAAAACATTTTCCACCTATATATATATTAATCGGTAATACCCGACATTACCCGATATTCACCGAAACCCTTCCGATGACCCCGAAACACTTTCGGAACTATTCCGGATATTAATGAAACAATTCCACAATTATATTCTCATCACTCCCGTCCTACTATCACTCAGCAAATCTTGATTACCTTAAGCTTGTGACCCCATAGGTTCGGTAACCATAGACATAAATGAAACCCCTTCGTTTAATGACTGATAGTGGACCGTAGACATCCATATCGGTCCATATACAAGAATGATATTCCAGTGAACCTTTGGTTATCATGTGATGTTCCCTTTGCTTCGCAATACTTCATAAAACCCAGTGTGCATCGGTATCCTCCAGAGTCATCACCATGCTCACTATACCGTTGCTCCCATTACCGGTTTTGTTCTTCTTTCTCGTTGACGTGTTCCGGCATCCTCGTGACGTAGTAACCTTTTTCTGGCCAGACGATGATGGATGCCGTCACACCGAGAGGGCCCTAAGAATATCTCTCCATCGTTAGAGGAGCAAATCCCACTCTCAAGCTATCTGGTCACTTGTCAAACTTTCCGATGAACCTAAAAGTTGTCATTGTGATCACCTTGTTACAGATGATGTTTGAGCAACCCCAAAGCCCACCATCCGGTAGGAAGTGACCGAGACACTCTCATGGTCTGAGGAACTAAAACACATGCTAACACTTCGTGTTATAACAGATGATTTTAGACGATACGATCACATAGTATAATAGACAAGTATTGGGTCGATTCAATATGATCGTTCTTCAAACTTCATACCCTCAATTGTTTTAGGACTACCGTTACGATCCGGAAAACTGATCACCAACAACACTTGAGCTGGTCTTAGAGGCGAGACCGGGAACCTATTGTTTACCGTTTATCATTCCACACGTGCATATGAGTTTTCCACTGAATCACATATTCGAGGATCATAGCAGTTATAGCATAGAATATAACCTCTCAACTATGAATAGTGGAAATATAATAATACAATATTATTGCCTCTAAAGGAAATATGCCCTAGAGGCAATAATAAAGTTGTTATCTTATATTTCCTTATATCATGATAAATGCTTATTATTCATGCTAAAATTGTATTAACCGGAAACTTGATACATGTGTGGATACATAGACAAAACACCGTGTCCCTAGTGAGCCTCTACTAGACTAGCTCGTTAATCAAAGATGGTTAAGTTTCCTAACCATGGACATGTGTTGTCATTTGATGAAAGGGATCACATCATTAGGAGAATGATGTGATGGACAAGACCCATCTGTTAGCTTAGCATATTGATCGTTCAGTTTTATTGCTATTGCTTTCTTCATGTCATATACATATTCCTTTGACCATGAGATTATGCAACTCCCGGACACCGGAGGAATAACTTGTGTGCTATCAAACATCACAACGTAACTGGGTGATTATAAAGATGCTCTACAGGTATCTGCGAAGGTGTTTGTTCGGTTGGCATAGATCGAGATTATGATTTGTCACTCTGAGTATCGGAGAGGTATCTCTGGGCCCTCTCGGTAATGCACATCATAAGAAGCCTTGCAAGAAGTTAGTCACAAGGTGATGTATTACGGAACGAGTAAAGAGACTTGCCGGTAACAAGATTGAACTAGGTATGAACATACCGACGATCGAATCTCGGGCAAGTAACATACCGATAGACAAAGGGAATTACGTATGCTGTCATAAAGGTTCGACCGATAAAGATCTTTGTAGAATATGTAGGAGCCAATATGGGCATCCAGGTTCCGCTATTGGTTATTGACCAGAGAGGTATCTCGGTCATGTCTACACAGTTCTCGAGCCCGTAGGGTCCGCACGGTTAACGGTCGTTGACAATATAGTTTTATATGAGTTATGTATGTTGGTGACCGAATGTTGTTCGGAGTCCCGGATGAGATCATGGACATAACATGGAGCTCCGGAATGGTCCGGAGGTAAAGATTGATATATAGGATAATAGTTTGGTCTCCGGAAGAGTCTCGTAATTCATCGAAAGGGGTTTCGGATGTCTCTCGAAATGTTTGGGTATGAGAACACTTTATTTGGGCCAAAGGGGAAAGCCCACGAGGCTTTTGTAAACTGCAAACGGAAGTTTTGCGGAGACCAGAGGCTAGACGCCAGGAA